TAACACACGGACATTTCACATCTCCCCAGATAGCTGGGATCTGAGCACACAAAACTACCGAATAGTGCTCAGATCCTATTCACACAGTTCAATTGCCATGGAGCCGAAGTCTTTAACTACACAAATGGGCTCCATGGCATAGCTATCTGGGTTAACACATTTACATAAATTCTGGTCCATAGTCCAAAGGCAGCAGGCGGGCAGCCAGGCTTCTCCAATGCAATGTGGCGAGATTGCTCTCGTCACATCTCTCCCCTTTTCCAAACAGACTAACAGGGTATTTGACCTCCTGCCGGTCAGTGCCCTTGTTAGTCCAGCAGCCCACCCACAAAACAGAAACAGCAGTACAGCCCACCCACAATAACTGGTTACTACTCCTGGGTAGAGGAGAAACTTGTCCATGTCCAGGTGCCTCACCACGGCTGTGTGGGGGACTGGTAGGCTGCTTTGGTGGGTTGCTGAGTGGGCAGAAACCAGCGGTACTCTGCCCTGATGCCAGCACTACCACGGGAGTAGTCTGGTTTAAGCCTGGTTGCTGGAGACCGACTGTCTCCCCTTTAAATACACCGCTCTGCTGCTGGAGACCGACTGTCTCCCCTTTAGTTACACAGCTCTGCTGCTGTAGACCGACTGTCTCCCCTTTGGCTAAACAGCCCTGTCGTGGGGGGGCAGGACCGACCGTCCCTACCCCCTGTGCTGGGAGTGCAGAGACCACGGTCCCATCTGCACAGGTGTGGGGCTTACAGTCTCCCCCTTGTACACTAAGCTGTGGCTGGGGAGAGGGGGTAACAGGCTCCTCTCCCGATAGAACACTTTGCCGCTGGGGAAAGGAGACTGGGCTCTCTATTCCCTGCACATTGATAATCTGACGCTGGGGAGAGGGGGTAGCAAGTTCCTCTCCCATACATACTTCCAGCCTCCGTGGAGGGAGACCGACTGTCTCCCCTCCCAATACAGAGTCCTGCTGCTGGAGAAAGGAGACTGGGCTCTCTATTCCCTGCTGGATACTCTGCCACTGAGGACTGGAGACTGGGCTCCCAATTCCCAACAAATAACACTGCCGCTGGGGAATGAAGACTGGGCTCCCAATTCCCGACACATCACACTGCCGCTGGGGAATGGAGACTGGGCTACCAATTCCCAGAAAATCACGCTGCCGCTGGGGAGGGAGGACACTGCTCTCTTCTCCCTGGACTTCACACTGCCTTCCCGGCATATCACTTGGCTGCTGGGGGGCAGGAACAACTACCTCTGCCCCCTGTAACTCAGCCTGTCGCTGGGGAGGGAGGACACTGCTCTCCTCTCCCTGCACTTCACACTGCCTTCCTGGCACATCACTCTGCTGCTGGGGGGCAGGAACAACTACCTCTGCCCCCTGTAACTCAGCCTGCCGCTGGGGAGGGAGGACGCTGCTCTCCTCTCCCTGCACTTTACAATGCCTTCCCGGCATATCACTCTGCTGCTGGAGGGCAGGAACAACTACCTCTGCCCCCTGTAACTCAGCCTGCCACTGGGGAGGGAGGACGCTGCTCTTCTCTCCCTGCACTTTACACTGCCGCTGGGGAATGGAGACTGGGCTCCCAATTCCCGGCATATCACACTGCCACTGGGGAGTGGAGACTGGGCTCCCAATTCCCTGCTGCATCTGCCGCTGGAGTTTCTCCCAACGTGCCAACTGACCTTCTATTTCTGCCCGTTGTTGCAGCCTCTTGAACACTAGGTTCCTCACGAACCGCACCGATCTCTCCAGTGGGTTGGATCCGAAGAAGCTTAGGTGAAACCACACCATCCAGTCATAGTCTCTCATAGAGTAGCTGTACTCCACTGCTGGTTCCATCCTGGTGCTGTCAGGGTTGCTGTACTAGGACATGTGTTGCCCTTAACTTGTAAATCCAAAGAAATGGTGTCTCCTGTAGCTGTCCTTCTGGCTGTAGGAACGATCCCGCCGCTTGCCACCAATTGTAACGGACCGTTTTGCACACAAGGGGTAAAAACCGTTTAGGCAATCATCCCCCTTTCCAGTGATGCAGGCACAGCTACTGCAGAACACCAAACTCCCGAACTGGATACAAAATAGCACTCCAACTCCCGAACTGGAACCTCCCAAATAGCTGCTAGCAGACGAACAGGAAAAGCAGACAATCAGCTTACACTCCTGGCAATCAGTGTCTAACAGCATACAGTGAATCCCCCCAAGAACGAGACAAGGCTCCATGTTGAGGGTCAAGCAGTGGTCTGAGGTGCTGGCACACCCAGCCTGGTTTTTTTTTTTTTTTTTTGACATTCTTTATTTTACGTTATTAAATAACAGCATGTATATCCGTTACAATTTTACAAGTTATAACAAATAAAGGGGTCAGTTATGTGTATAACAGCATAGAGATGGTTTCAGCAACCTACTGATAGGCTGTGTTCGTATTTTTAGCTTCGATAAAACAATAAGCAAACTTGTGTGTTGTGTTATGTCGTTGGCCCTGTAATGGGTTAGTCCACTGTGTGTTTGAGAGTGTATGGGGTTTGCGGTTAATCCGCAAGGTTCATGCGTGCTATCAAATAGCCTGTTTCAACCGCTCTGGGTTGTCCTCGTGGGGCAGGGGGGAGTTGTATATCCCTGTGATATTCTCTGATCTACCTCATTTGTAGGTATAACCATAATGGGGAGTCTGGCTCAGTACGAAGTTTCCTTTCACTTACATATTGGGTCTAGTGTTTCCCACGGCACCTTGGAGTTGTGGGAGTCTCTATCGGCGTGCGTTGCGGTTCTTCTTTGCCCCAAGCATTGCACGGAATGGTTTGTTTGTGTTACTAGTGCCAGGCTGGTGGATATAGTACCCAGGCTGGTTTTTATTACCGTCTTTTCAAATACAGGACCGCCCATAGGGAGGTATAAAACAACCAATCACATATCAGTTACATCCCACATATTCCCTCCCCTTATCCTGAGAGGAAACTCAATTACACATACAGTTAAAACATACTTTCTACCCAACTTTCATAACTCTAAAACCATACATCACATTCACATAAAATTACATATTCACAATCAATCCATTCAGGGGAACAACATATTAAAAAATGGCATGAATCAGACCAGGGGTTCAAAAGTTAGTAAAAGTATCTTTTGGGCCCTGGCTGGCACATGGATATCTGGCTCAAACAGGTTTTACAGAGCCCTCTATCCTGGAGACAATGGGGAAAGTAATCCAATTATCCAGGGATAGAGGCAGACTCCATTGAGCACATGGTTGCAAAAAGACATAAAACACTTTAAAATACATAAAGTCACCTTTTACACATAACACACAGACATTTCACATCTCCCCAGATAGCTGGGATCTGAGCGCACAAAACTACCGAATAGCGCTCAGATCCTATTCACACAGTTCAATTGCCATGGAGCCGAAGTCTTTAACTACACGAATGGGCTCCATGGCATAGCTATCTGGGTTAACACATTTACATAAAGTCTGGTCCATAGTCCAAAGGCAGCAGGCGGGCAGCCAGGCTTCTCCAATGCAATGTGGCGAGATTGCTCTCGTCACACTAATTATAAATTTTGTAATATGAGTTGGCGAAACCATCGGGCCGGGGTTTTCCCTGCTGGAAGTGTACATATTCTTTCCTCAACTTCTTTTTGGGTGATAGGGGCTGAGAGAGTGGCTCTATGCTCTGGTGTTAGAGGTGGTAGGTGAATGTCCTGTAGATAAGTATCAATGTCTGCAGTTGTCAGTGGGGAAACATGTGGGATTTCTTTGAGGTTATATAGTGACTCGTAGTATGTCGCAAATTAGTCACTAATTACTTTAGATGCAATCGTCTTGTCTCCAGTGCTTTATTGGAGGTATGCTATTTTGGACATGGCTTGCCTGTCTCTGAGCCTTTGGCGAGGATTTTGCTCAACCTGTTGCCCTGAGAGTAGTGTGTGGTCTTCAGCCTCCGCATGGCTAGTCCTACCTTTTGGAGTGTGAATGCCTGTAGTTTACCCTGTATTTCTATGATCTGTTGACGTAGCTCCGGTGTAGGTGCAGTTTGGTTCTGCTTGTTTAGGTGATATAATTTATTATACCACGTGATATTTTAGGTGTGTGAGGTCTGTTCAGCTCACCACGGATAACGGGTTTATGTGCCAACTACGTTGCCTCTAAGGAGGTTCCCTGCAAAGTGTTTTCCCTGAAGTAATGTGTAAGGAAGTTTTCCATGTGTTTGGAGAATATTTGGTCATGTAGCAAGGTTACGTTTAATCACCATGGGCTCCTGTTGTGGCTATCAAACTTGTCTTTTAAGTCCAAGATTATGAGTGAATGGTCAGACCATGTGATAGCCTCAAAGGTGCTGGTTAGCACCTGAGCTAGGTGTTGCCCCTCAACAAGGAATCTGTCAATTCGAGTGTAGGAGTTAAGGACTTGCAAGAAGTCTCTATGTGTCATATAGGTTATGTTTGTCTAATAGTTTTTGGTATGTTTTGCATGACCACGTGTTGTATGGTTTTCTCGATGCGGTCAGTCCCTTTGGGGTCTAGGATGTGGTTAAAGTCCCCACACAGTATCAACATTCCCCTCCGGATTGGCGATATCTTGGATAAGGTTTTTTTTGTAGAAAGTTAAGTTGTTCTGAATTTGGACTGTATACATTTACGATAGTGTAAGTAATCATTAACAGTACTGATTAGGATAATAATGCGGCCGTCTTTATCTATATAGTGATCATGCTCTGCAAATGCCACTTGGTTGTTTATAAGTATGGAAACCCCCTTTGTTTTGGATTTAGCTGTAACGTGGTATTGGTGAGCATATAAGAGGGGTTTAAGGCAGGGTGGTTGTGTCAGGTGTTTCACTTGGAGACATACTACATCTGCAGAAGTCTTGTGGAGGTCACGGTATTAGTGATGATGTTTAACTGGGGCGTTCAACCCCCTAACATTGTGGCTAAGTATTTTTATAAAGAGGTTTGAAGTATGGTTCGCTTTTAGTGCCACTAATGAGTGTTATATGGTTTTCCACCGACCCGCCTCTGTGAGGCCCGCCTGTGGGAAAGTCAGATGTTGTAAGGAGTGTATGAGAAGTATGTTGTGTACCTGTGTTTCGTGTTACATGAGTCGAGCCATTCCCACCGATTTCTGTCTGAAGCGTAGGGCATACCACACTCTGATGTACACGTCTCTCAGCTAATGCTGTAGGATCAGCAGTGTGTGCCTCCTTGCGGGTAATGTTAGGGCTGAGAGGGGAGGAAAGAAAAGTGCAGTTAGAAGTTAAAAGGAAAGATAGAGTGCGGTAAAGACTGCCATGGTTGGGCAGAGTACTGAGAACTGGCACTATAGAGGCTGACAACTGTAAACAACTGTAAATATAACAATGTAACAATAAATCACGGGCAACTAGCCCAATGTATAATTTTTGATGCTTAACTGCTATTCTGGACCAAAAGAAGAATATTGCATACATTTTACATTACTGGAGCTCCTGTGTCTTAAAAGAAAAGGGTTGCAAACAGAACTGTCCCTAATGTGATCGCTATCCGCCCAAAGATAATTGGATACATATATGGGTGAACTAGATGAGGTGATGCTGTGTCTATACGGGTTGGGCAGTGTCATATTGTTCCATAACATAGTGTAGTGGTTGTATGCTCTGTAATGGCGATGGAGTTGCTGTGGGGAGTATAATTCGCCCTCAGCCTCAACGATTGCGTGGCGGTCTCCTAGTTTTGGGCTCTCATTCTAAGGTCTCTTCCCCCACTCCCGGTGTTTCTCTGTTCCTCTTTGCATAGACATCTTATAGGCATCCTCCCCTGCCGTGTTGGCATTCATACCCATCCCTGTACTTCCTATCCCACGTTATTCCCATTTGCCCCACCCCTGGGGTTAGTGTTGTTGTCATGGTGACAATTATCTGATTCCCAACACTTATTGGGCCCAAGGCTAGGGTGGTACAGAGTCAGCTTAGTGTCAAGCTTGTATATACAGGTCATCGATATTTGCAATGCTTAGAAATACTAAGAAATATTTACATACATATAAAGCGGTATTGTGACAATAGATTTTCTTTTTTTTAAGATTTTGTTTTGTTTAGTTTGTCGAGTGTGTTTTTAAGGTGAGGGCATGCCCTTCACAGATTTTGGGGATACAAAACTGTATTCCTGGCACTATCGCTCCCCTGCCTCCCCCTCCCTAGTGAATAAAGGGTTAAAAAACATTTAATTACTTTCCTTATCCCAGCGCCGATGTCCCTCGGCATTGGGTCAAAGTTCCACCTCCTCCACAATGACCGGGCTCTAAACACTGCACCCGTTAGACCGCACCATAGAAAAGCATTAAATCAATGCTTTCCTATGAGCAAAAATCAGATGGGGGAGGTCTGTTTCAAACCAGGAAGCCCTCTTCTGGCTGTCTGGTAGACAGCCAATAGAGGCTGACTTAGTGCTGCAATGTACCAGCTTCTAATAAATAATAACATTCATAATTTAAGTTTAATAATCAATTACCAGATTCAAATAAGACTTTATATATTACCTGGGCTATCCTTCGATGTATATCAATGTATATTTTTTGAATTTTATTGTGGATTTACCCACATAATGATAAGTAGGCTGTGAAGCAAAAAATGTGTTTAAATCTCTGATTGAATGTTGGATACCCATGCTATTTCAGTAGGTCTCCAGAGGTTGGAACAGGCATGCCATAATCCTCAGAAAATTACCTAAAATAAATTGTTTACTGTAGCAGAATTATCTTCTCTGGGTCAATGAGGCCTGTAGTATAGTTAAAGAATAGATCTCTGAGATAATTGCAAAGTTGGAAAAGGCTGACATGAGAATGCTATGCGTGTAATTTGGGTTCCTGACTCAAAAAGTTAAGAGCCACTGACTTTTACTTAATTCTGCTAGGGTATATATATAGATAATTGTGGGGCAAAGGGTTTATTTAACCACATGAGACAGAAAGCGGGATCTGGTATTTCCAGTGCTCTGTAAGTTTTCTGCATATTCTTTAACTTGTAAATATGATTTGCGTGTGAGGGCCTTGTACGATGTTTAATTGTTCTGAACACCTGGCCCGAATGGCTGGCAATATATTTACCTGGCTTCTGGATACACAAAATATTTAAACCTTTAAACTGACAAGGTAAACAGCCTGAAGGGAGCTAAAATGTACGTCATCGTCTCTACAGGTTCCTGAGAGTGAGGCTAAGATGAGTTAAAGTCCACAGGTGTGTTTCACAAATACAGAGGGTATTCTGCACAAAGAACGATTCAAGGCCAACACGCAAAAAAATTGAGAAATCGGAAGGAATTTCCCTTCAGATTCCAATGTGATACTTTCCACCACAATAACTCTTTATATATAAATCCCACAGTGATAGCTGTGTAGAATAAACAGCGCAATAAATATTTAAGTGGTTTTAGTGATGGCTCGAGGAGAATCATCTACATGGCTATCTATATACAAGCCTTACAGAACAGTCAGTATTTTATATTTGATTTTTGTTTTTTAATTTATATATTCCGATTACATAGGATTTTTAGGTACTGTTATCAAATACTACTAATTTCTTCCATTTTCATGCAATGTCTACACATGATTTCTGTCTTGTTAGAGTTTTTTTTAATGTTTTAATTAACAGCCCATGTCATAGAATATTAAAGGGGTTGCGAAAAGCTAAATCACCAAATGTTTTCAAAATACAATTTGAAAGGTGCTTTGCCATTCTAAAGCTTGGCAAGACATCAGGTGAGTTGGGGTTCTATAACTATTTATCTGCAACTGTCACTAGTCTAATACTATCCTTACCTTTTTGTGTCATTTTACCCCACTCCCTCTAGCATGTAAGCTCATTGAGCAGGGCCCTCAACCCCTCTGTTCCTGTGTGTCCAACTTGTCGGGTTACAACTACATGTCTGTTCGTCCACCCATTGTAAAGCGCTGCAGAATTTGATGGCGCTATATAAATAACATAATAATAATAATAACATCTGGAGAGCAACTGTTTTGAATATCCCTAGGATATCTCCTTCTAAGAACTGACCTGTTCTATATATGTAAAAACAAACTTTGCTCTCATACGTGGATACTGCACAGTACATTACGCTTTCAAGATCCACAAATATAAAAGCTTTTATATAGGATTTAAGTAGATATAATCTCACAAATATCAGTGATAACATATTTAAAATGATGTAACAGAGTGACAGCATAGACTAAAGTATGTGAACGCAGGTTCACATACAGATTCAATAGACAGTAAGGCCCTAACAAGACCTCCCATAATCTAACAAATATAAAATACAAATGCCCATGTCACTGCTAGCTGTGCTACAGAAATAATATATACTACCACTAGAGGGCAAGTCACTCTGAACAAGTGGCTTGCACACTGCTGCTGAGAGTAATTCTGTGCTGGTTAATGGGAACAAGGTCTGGTAGTTATGTGTTTTAAATGCAGCATGCACGTCAATACTGTACAATTATTTTCCTTAAATCTAGCCAGGTATCTAAGGAAATGAGGGAGCCAATCTGTTTAATGGAAATTAATAGAAATTCCTGGCAGTGAAAGTTCTTTTGTTAGCAGACTTTTAATGGAACATTGTAGCACTCGTGACGACATTTCGGTCACGCAGTGCGACCTTTGTCAAGTCTTGGCAAAGGTCACATTGCGTGATGAAAAGTTATCACGAGTGCTACAAGGTTTCATTAAAGATCTGAGTGTGGACATTTATTAAATTACACTAAGTGATACTGGGAGTTTTGTCACCCCAACAGTCTGGAGCACCTTTTTTCATGGTTTTTATGGTGAAAACATTATTTTTAACCTGAGTGCAGTCCTTTATCTCTGTTTGTAGACATTTGCAATCTGTATTTGCTCCAAGAGCTTCAAGGGACCAGAAAAATCTAAAACATCGCCTCTGAAAATACCAGCACAGAGAAATAATGGGCACCAGAAAAGACTTTCCCTACACTCAGAAACAGATTAATTTAGACTTGAATTTTTTGAAATAGGCGCCAGGCAGCTACAATGTAAATGTTCAGGTTTTATTTTTCATTTATGCCATATTCCACTTTATTACGTATAGGAATTGAATATATATATATATATATATATTTTAATAATTGCTTCCTAGTCACTTGGCTGTACTGTGCATGGTGGCTGTGTTTTCTGTTGTGTGTGGAGCCTTAACCCCTTAAGGACACATGACATGTGTGACATGTCATGATTTCCTTTTATTCCAGAAGTTTGGTCCTTAAGGGGTTAAAGCCAAATATATAACATTGCAATTACATGGGAGAGAAAATTCAGCGTCCAATTGCGTCATAATTAGTCACACACATAATCTATGAGAGCTACTGTCACAATTAAACCTTCTCACATTAGACTCGTCAAGCTTTCAGCTCTTGGTCCCGGAAGCCCTACATTCAGCATTGACCAAACTGTCTCAGGTGTCATTGCCATAATGATACTAATGAATCCTTCATGTCTGATGATTCTCAGCCACCTGAAAAGCAGAGAAATGATAGCACTGTAAACGCGTCTCACTTTTATAGAGTGCTCGTCATGAGTGTATTATTGTCAGAGCTTACCTGGAGATGGAGTCCACAGTGGAGAGATAATGCTCACCCTCGCACAATTTTGCAGGCCCTGGTGACTAGTTAGATAAATCACCTGGAGAGTGAACTTGTGCAGGGGGCTGTGCAGGAAGGCACATCCAGAGTGCAGTACAGACAAGGTCCAAAATAAGTAAAACAGACTGACAGGTGGCAAACTGCTGTGACTCACAGGTAAATAAACTGTCTGGAAACAATGAGGTCCAGGGTTCAAGTCTAACCAGATTTTCCAAAGGAGTGGCCACATCTGGCAGTCTGCAGAGATGGGGACAAACCATGGCAATCGTCATGTGCCTGGTCTTTGTCAGATTATATCAAGTTGGATCAATGAAAAATATGTTCTAATTTATACAGCTGTAGCACTCACCCCTTTCTTCTTGTATCTAGCTGTTCAGGGATAAGACCCATTCCTTTTCTGGTGTGCTATGGCTCTCTGTATAACCCACTGTCTACTAAGTACTTACCACTATTTCCAACTTCATGCACTTCTAGAACATTTACATAGAATCGATTTGATGTTGCAACACACAGAGTTTATTAATATTATTTATATATCTCCAACATTCTCCCGTTGCTCTACAATTACACAATGAGGTTATATAATAACAAGTAAATTACA